TTTCTTTCTTTCTTTCTTTCTTTCTTTCTTTCTTTCTTTCTTTCTTTTTTTTTTATAACAGCACATGCCCTTGGGGATGCCTTACCCACATCCCAGCCGCCACTGTGCTGTTTGGGTGAAGCACAGGGCCTGCTCTCCCAAATACTGCTGCTTGTAAGAGAGGGGCCAGCTCTAGAGAATGCCATAGCCAGTGAGGGGTGGGGACATTTCTGCACAGTCCCTGAATATCTTTATGGTTCCTGGCTTTGCCATGGCCAGGCATGTTTCTGTGTTCTCAAATGGTAATATGAGCCACAGACATCAACACTGACCCATGCCTCTGCATAGCCATAGATTCTGACAGGACCCTCAGTATGGCAGGAGCTGGGACCTGACTGTTGCCCCAGGTGATAAAGCTGGTCACTCCCAACAGGTCACTTCTATCCACTGTCAACTCTCCAGTCCCATCTCTCTTCATAATGCTCCAGTTGTTCTACTTCTCTTACCTCCTATATGATTAGCACATACTCTTTTTACTAGCTACTGCTGCAGGCTGGTCACTAGCTGGGCTGTGTGTGTGACACGCTCCATCGGTGCTGTGTGGTATGGTGGCAAGTGGGTGTCTATTGCCTGCCCGTGCTGTGTGCTGGAGCGCATGTCTGCTGGTGGCACGGTGGTTTGCAGGTTTCTGTCCATCTTTTCCTCCCACACTGTACTGCCTGGATTTGACTTGATTTTTGTGAGTCCTAGGTATAAACAGCTTTGGCCACCAAGCCAGGCATCCAGCTAGGATGAACAGAAGACTACTATGTGCTCTGTGCCTGACTTATTTAAGAACACCACCACCAGCAAGGTGTCTCTTTGCCCATTACCGGGGAGGTGAGGGCAGTACATTTTTAAATAGATACTGAAAAAATTCCTCACTCATTCTTATGAGAGAGAAAAAAATATGACTAGACTAATGAGTCTCAAACTATTATAATTGAAAGGTGTCTGACACCTCAGGGCAGAAAGCACTTAAGTCATAACTACACAGGTTCAAAGATGACTTTTCTTCAAAATATATTTTTCTAACTCCTTCCTTTCATGAAGCCAAAACTTTTCTTTTATAGTGCCCCTAGGTCTATCCTTCCCTTTCTGGTCTTTTGCATTTAGGCCTTTCAAAGCTTCCAAGAAGTGAAAATATTTATTGCATGTTTAATGTATGCTGAACATTATTCACGTCCTTCTTGTAGCCATGTGTCTTATTTTTCCAGCAAGGCCTAGTCTGATTTGGGTATTCTTATCACCATTTTGCCTTAGGGTCTGCTGTTTTGCCATTTGATTTTATTTAAAATGTACTTTCCTGAACTAAAGCCAAGTAAAGGAATAGAGAAGCATGCAAAGAATATTCTTGTATCTATTACCAACTTACTGAAAATTATATTCCCTATAATATTATAGTCCTAGTGTGCTGCTCGAGGGCTCTAATTCCCTCATTTACACCTAAAAAGTAACTGACATAAATCGGCTATTTCATATAGAAAAGTCTTCATGTTGATTTGCATATTTCAAAATGTAAATAATGTGTTATAATTTCTGCAACATTTTTTATAAAAATATACTTGTTTTAATGTTAGTTTCAAACTTGTAGAAAGGGTTGATTCAAGATTTCATTGCATATAAACTATAGAATAATATTAGTATAGATTAAATATGATAAATAATGAAATGTAATTCTCTATATTTCTCCTCCCTATCTTTTAAAAATAATTTTTATTGTTTGAGATCATAAAACTACATGACATCTTCTCTTTTTCTTCCCTATCTTCCCCCCTCCAAACCTTTCCATGCATTCTCACTCTCTCAAATTTATGAAGTCTTTTTTTTTAAATTGATTTTACATATATATGTGTACTTCTAAATCTAAAAGTACAACATTTAGTCCAAATAAGAATTTGTATGTATATGTTTTCAAAGCTGACCATTTAGCACTGGGTAAAGAATTGGTATTCATTTCCCTTGAGAAGGTTATTTTGCCAACTGTCAATACTCTTTAGTTGCCTGTAGTTCTTTGTTTAGGGTTAAGGCCCCATGAGGATTCCCTGTCCATGTTAACATGTCTTTTGATGTCTTAATTTATCAGGTCATGTTTAGGCATAGCTTTACAATAGGATCTTCTTTTGCAGCCTAGGTTGGACTGGAAATCACTATGTACCCTAGGCTACCCCCAAACCCATGGCACTGCTTCCACCTCAGCTTCCCAAGCAATGGGATTACGTGGGGTGCATCACTTTCCCACAGCTTTAGTGACATACTTTTGACAGATGGACTGTGATGGTGAATACTATATTTAAAAGTTTAAAATTTTGGTGATGCTTAAGAGAACTATAAAACAAAAATGACTCTAAACTATAATCTTACTTGCCCAAAGACAGATAACTTTCTGGAATTGCCTGATCTTGTTTATGTAAGATAACAAACTGTGTTTTTACTTCTGTAAACAAGCTTGCTTATCCTTTACTAGTCATAGGTAAGATGTATGCTTGATGGTAGTTAGGCAGGGTATGTGTCTGATTATGCATGGACAGGAAATACATCAGTATATGTTCTTGCTCCTGGTTGCACATCATCAGGAAGTAGGTAGCCTTGTGAGTTTTGCCTTTATAAACCCTTGGTTAATGTAATTAGGAGCTGCATCTTTCTTGAGTGTGCTCTTCGGTAAAGGCCTGGGGCCATGAGTATCCAGCACAAGTATCTGAATAAAACCTCTTATTTGTTAAAATTTATTCATGGTCAGAGTAGTGAGTCTCTGAATTAAACCAGACCCATAAAAGAACATTTAGCTTTTTTTTTTCTCTACTAGTGTCAATCATGTTATATGAGTATTTTAGGCATGGATTCTTGAGTTTAATCTAAGAGATCTGGATTAAGATTAAGGCATTCATGGACATCCTATTCTATAAAAATAAAATTAATATAACTTTGCTAAGCTAATATTTACTCTTTAGATTATTCTGACTATAAATAACTTATCCACATAGCTAGTTTTCTCTTTTTTACCACTGTTACCAAATACAGGTACTGATTATTTTCAAGTCTAATAATTTTAATAAGAATGTAACCCACTGAAGTGAAAAAAATTATGTGAAAAAGAAGAAAAAGTAAATAAAAATTGTAATATTATACATATTTGTTGTTTGGAAGTCCTTTCTCCCCTGTACTTCTTGGAGTGGTTTATCAATGTAACCCAGGTTAACGTACAACTCATCTTCCTCCTGCTTTTTCTTCCCAGATACCAGGTGTATGTCATCACACCTGTCACTTTATGGACAATGGTAGTTCACTTCTTTCAGTACGGCTAATTATCAGTCTTGAATATGATACTCTTCATATACTGTGGTAGCTAGGTTCTATGACAATTTGATATGTGCTAGATTCAGTTTGGAATAGGAAGCCTCAATTGAGAAAATTTCCTTACTTGAATGGTCTGTGGGCAAACATGTGGTGCATTTTCTTGGTAGATGATTGATGTGAGAAGGTCTACCTGACACATTGTGGTGCAAGCCCTAGGTTAGTAGTGGCTAAGCCATGAGAAACAAGCCAGTCATCAGCATTCCTTCATGACCTTAACAACTGTTCCTTCTTCTAGGTTCCAGACTTCCTTGGGTGATGGACTACAAGCCATAGGATGAAAACCCTACCAGGAGATTTTTGTCATGGTGTTTTATCATTATAATAAGAATCTTAACTAAGACATTCTAAACAGTGCTGTTTATGAACTTTTCTCTGCCATCAAAAACTTTTCACTGAACAAATTAAGCAGTCAAATTTTCACAAAATAATATTCAAAACTAAGGCAAAACTTTGTACTGTACTACTCCAAAAAATTAGTTAAAATTCTTGTGTGTGAATGAGAGAGAGCGAGGAAGAGAGAGACAGAGAAAGAGAAAAGGAGAGACAGAGAAGTGGTATTTATGTTTGTATGTAGATACGTGAGGAAACCAAAGCAAACCCTCAGGTGTTATTTTTCAAACACTGTCTATTATTTACCTTGTAATAATGAATTTTGATAATGAATTTCTGACCTGGAGTTTGCCTAGTAGACTGGGCTGGCTGGTCAGTCTCCGCAATTATGAGATTAAAAATGTACACCATCACAGATGGCTTTTTAAAATGGGGGTTTGGGGATCAAACCTAGGTTCTCAGGTCCTTATTCTTTCATGACAAGCATTCTACATACTGAGTTGTCTTCTCAGCCCATCAGTAGACTTCCTAAATGCTGCACTGAAACTCAAGAAGATTTAGGCTGAAGCTGCCTAGGAAGTTAGGTTGTTAAGGTGTCTGTCTTTGCTAATACTTAACAATGTTAAGACCTTACATCCTCAAGACTTAGAGACACACCCACTGTACTTGATGGCTTTCATTTAAAGGATGACTATCTAATCCACAAAAAGATACTCTTGTGTTACAAACCAGCTAGTGTCTGCTTGGAGTTCTCTAAATTTAAAAGACCTAAAGAAAGAACACAGGAATACATTTTCTAAAGTCTGTGTTGTGAAGAGAGAGAAAGAAAGAGAGAAAGACATGGAAGAAGAGACAGAGATAAACAGAGAGAGAGAAACACACACACACATACACACACACACACACACAGAGAGAGAGAGAGAGAGAGAGAGAGAGAGAGATTAGGAGTTCCTATTTTTCAGCAGAAAGAAAATCGTATAAGGTTTGGTCAAGACTTAGGGACTGTTACAGTCATCTTGCTGGTACAGAATCTTCTATTATTTGCTACTTGCTCATAAGAAAGACAGTATGAAAGAAATTTATCTCATCCTGTATTGGAGCATAGCTTTTATTATTTAGTATAAAAGATGGAAAAGGATGTGACTGATATATACAGGATAAATTCACATAGTAAAGAATTGCCCTACTTTAATCATTCCTACTGTGCCCATTAAGAAATGCTGATATCTAGTTATAACAAAGAATGTATTCAAATTCTCAGGGCTGGGAATGTTAGCAGTTAAGCAAAGATTATATTTTTTCATCAAAAAATGCCATAGGAGAGAGTACACTTCCATGTACTACTTTTTTGTTCCTGAGTTAAATTTTACACTTTTCTCAAAAGTATTTTCTGGATCTAGAATTAATTTGTCTTCTTCTACAGAAGACACAAAATGTATATGTGCATTTTTTTCAAGAAATAATCCTTGAAGTCTTGTAAGTTATGGAGAATACACATTAAAACGAGTGGGCATAACAGTGCCAAATAATTGACAGAACACTAACTTTATTGAAAATTATCTTTTCAAATGAACAAGTAAGTTTATTTAAAATTTATGTGTAACTTTGAACACTGAAGCAAGTGATTTAAAACATTTTCCTTTTATTGAAAATAGAATTTTTTCTCATATTATATATTCTGATTTCTTCTCCCTGATCTTCTCCACCTCCTTTCTCATTTGGATCCACCCCTTTTCTATCTCTCACTAGGTAACAAACAAGCTTCTACGGAAATGGGTAATAAATATAATACATCATAATATAATAAGATGACAAAAATAACATTAGAATTGGAAAAAAACAAATAAACATGAATAAGAGCTCATACTTTTATATGTATATGTCTATACATGCTCATTGTCAGTGTGTTCATGTCAGAGTGTAGCACAAATCTGTATACATGTGTGAAAGCCAGATATTAGTGTCCTGTGTCTTCCTCAATTTCTCTCTACCTTACTGTGTAAGGCTGGGTTCCTAACTGAACATAGAGATCACTGATTTGGCTACCATGGCTATACATCAGCTTTAGGGATACTCCTGTCTCTACCGCCCCAGAACTGGACTAGAATGCATACCATCCACACTACTCCACTATCTGCAGAGGTCCTGGCTTT